AACAAATAATTAAATATATACATATTGTAGGAACAGTTTTGAAATTGGTTGGAAAATGAAAAACCTAGCTTGCCAACAGCTGCGATTATTTTTAGCATCGTTACGCTACATTACGTTACGTCGCATACGTTATCTGTAAGCTGTCCGTTATAAGAATCGGCTTATTTAACTCTGTAAATTTGGGAATTGTTGGGATATGTTTAACAGGCAAATCAAGGTTTGGCCGACCCATAGGGCATGTCTGTTCTTGAGCAGAATCAATATTGCAGACTTCTGTCGGTATCGATATATTAAAATTGAGTCAAGATTTTCAATAACTAACAAACTTTCTTCTGAGTTTGGTAAGAAGTGGTATGTACATATAGAATATCACCTTATATATACGTTTGCAGGGTACCAGCTAGTCGTGTACTCTCGAGCAGCTAAGGTTTTGAATTGGAATACTGATATTCTTTAATGTATAGAACCATATTATTTGATTTGTATTTACCTGTTTATATTTACCTAAGTGCAAATCAGGTGCAACATATTTAGTATACACTGTACGCGTGCAAATGTTTGTCTATATACATATATATTTTTAAAAAGTATTCTGCTGCACATTGTCTTATCAGTTGTCGCTGATCAAACACATTCACATTTACCTTGTGCACAACTGAGCGTAAACAGCGCAGCTGGCGGCGCTGCTGGCGTCGCTGCTTAGCGACTACAACTAGGCTGACAAATTGTTGACACATTTAATTTCAACAACAGCAATTCAGAGCTCTGMTTGTTGTTGTTGGAGTTGTGCAAGCCAGGCTGGCTGGCGGCAAGGTTACTGACGGGCAGAGCTGCCCAATACAAATGGCAAATTTGTAGTTTGTGCTTATACCCAGCACTCATTAATAACGGGTATACCAAGGCCTATGCCTGTGCCGCCGCCCCATATTGAATAAGTTGATCATTCTCTCTCTGTAAGCTATATGGACATTCTCAATCTATTCTAGATTTTCTTGACAAATAAATATTTGATTGCCATATGAAAGTCAACACAGAGATACCCTGTAATGCTGAATATTGCCATATATGCTGAATATTGTCAAGTATGAGAATCTTTTGGTGGAATATTTGAGGGTTGGCCCTAGACTTTAGTAACAAATAAATATTTGAATGGCATGTGAATGAGATGAGATACCCTGCAATGCAGTACATTGCCATATATTAGTATGGGTACGATACAAGTGTTTTTTTGGTCCCAGATTTAGTAGATGATGGAATGTCATGGGATACCCTGTAATGGTGAACATTATTATATATGTATATTACTATGCGCATGGACACATTTATCAATGGGTATTTGTTGGTCGTGCATTCGAGGCAAGACCGCGTTTACTTGTTTTTGTTTGTTTGTTTGTTGTTGTGTCAAGTATCTTGAAACATTTTTTAATAATGGGCGACAATGTTCGGTGCGCCATTAAGCCAAATTAAATGTCAATAGCACAATAACGTACAAGACAGCAACAACAACAAGAACAGCAACAACAACAAAGTGAAATTTTTATGGTAGAGCATCAAATGAAATTAATATGATACTATATCAGCGATGCTTAACCTTAAATACTCTAAAGCGATTTTCTAAATATTTTGAAATAATAATTTTAAAATATGCTCAGATTTCAAAGATCTCTTAGGGAATTCAATCTATTAGTCATTAAAAATAAAATTAAAATTAAAGAAAATGAAATTAAATAAAAATTATAGTTATCCGATTGATAAGAGATAACTCTCTATCCGATTTTATGTATTACAAACAACCCAAAATACCCTAAATGAAGAGTATTTAATATGTGGCTAGTTGGCTTGGCCAGGTGTTCGGCAGATTCAGTTTGACAGGTGTGCAACTTCAACAGCCAATTACACACGCCGTCAAATTGAATTTCCATGCCCAAATTGATTTACTATTTGAGTGAATGTTGTTGCATGTTAAACAGTGTAATTATTCATTTCAAATAGGTGTCCAAATTTGCAATCAATTATTTATTTATGCTCTGTGACCGCCAGCAATTTGACATAATTAATCAAATTTTGTCGGCTTTCCATGGAGCTCCACTAATGCCCGCCATTTAAGGCAGGCCAAATTGAATCTTGTGTGGGCTTTTATTTGTTACTATTCGAATCTAGGTGTGTGCGTGCCGAATGTTTGCTGCTCGAAAAGATACTAATTATCTTACGAACAAGATAACAGAAGATCTGTGACCTGCAACACGACCTAACTATGCATATGTGTCTTCTATTTTATATTCATATATTATATTCATATTCACAACATCAAGAGATTGAAGCTAGAAATTAAAATACTCGTTGGTATTTTTGGTTTTATAAAGTCTTAAAATTAGTTCAATATACCCGTTAAGGGTATGGCGAATCTGGAATGCTCTATCTGAGGTAAGAAATATGTTGTTATAGTAAATATACCTGTGCCAATTAGAGCATCGCTTAACTATATCTTCTGCACTTTTACTACTAGAAGTTGCGAATTTAAGATCTAAATTACTGTTGACCTTTGATATTTGGCAGTTAAATTAATGAAAACAGCCGTTTGAATGAATGAATGAAAGTAATAGTATGATTTTCCTTTTTTACATGAAGCAAGAATCAAATTGTTCATAAAGCTTTTAATTATTATTTTGCGGAAGTTTATTTTGACTGAAAGTGTTTTATTTTGAGAAAGGGTGAGAAAGGGTTGAGCCCTGCACTGAGTTTCTTTAGCTGCAAAGGCAAATCATAATAAATATGTATATATCTCTTGATTTTTGCCTATCGTCAGCAGCTTCCACTCGTCTGGTCTCTATCCTGAGAACTAGCTTTAGGGCGAATCTCGAATTGCGTCGCAAACTGCGTCACGAAAGCCATCAATGGATGGATAGGGGATGGAGCTGTCAGCACCGGCAACGCGGAAGATAATGCAAAGTGCGCAACACGTAAATGGAGTGAAACCGCTGGGGTGGGGTGGGCAGGCGGCAACGGGGCAGCAAGTGTGCGGCAAGAGCCGTTTGTTTGTTGTTGCCTTAAAGAGTGCAACGCAAAAGCAAAGCCAAGCAGGAAGCTCACTCGGAATGGGGTATAAGCCAAATTTATAATGCGAATCAAGCATTTTGGATGGGACAGTTGCGCGTTTAACCATCCAATATATGTATCTCTTTCAATTTCTCAATAAATGTGTGTGCGTGTGTGTGTTGTGGCTTGTCTTGGAGCGTCGTGTGCCCATTATTCAAAGTGCCGCAGCGGCACTTTTGCTTTGATAGACTTCGCCGCCGTCATCGGCGCGACCCGTTTAAAATCATATTGCATTTGCATTATTTATTATTGTTATTATKATTAGTATTATATTTTGTTTTCCGCCATAAATTTTGCGCTATGGTCAGCTAAAGACGCAAAGTGCGAAAAAATCGTAAGCATAATGAATATATGTAAATAAACAGCTGCAAAATTGACTTTTTGAAATGCGGAAACCAAAAATATTGGAACAAATTAGAGATGCATAAAAATGAATTTCAAATGTGTGTCGTATATGGCGGATATGCAAGCGATTATAGTGCCATAGACATTGATTCAATATGATTTCCATTTTTCAGCTAAAAATAGTTTTCTATTATCATACTATTTATAGATATTAGTATTTATAGTAGACTTATGGTTATCATATGAAGCATATATGAAATTGAGCTTAGCCTTAGTTATAATATAGATATAAATATATATGTACATACATAATATACATTTTTAAATTGTGTCCTTTTTTTTTTTTTTATATCCAGTACTGCTATTTCTATGAACGGTTGATTATCAATGTCTTGTTTAAGTGGTAAAACTAAAGAATATCTGTCAAAATGATTTTTTTTTTTTTTTTTTTTTTTTTTTTAAAGTAATTTTTTTTTTTTTATTTAAGTTTTGTATAGTGCACCACTAATATTTTAATGAGCTGTATGAAGCGCTGGAATATATTTATAAGCTCGATCTATATGATCTCCTTGAATATGTAATCAATCTTTAACATTTAGCTTATGCAGTTAAGCAAATGTTTGCTTGGTTGACAAACAAATGCAAATAGCATTAAGATGATAATACGAGATGATATCATGCTAAAAGCAAACGCTTAGAAATTCACTTGCATATGTACATATATTTATATGTATATGCAAGTGTGTGTATGTGTGCGTGTATGTGTTTATGTATGCATATTTGCTTTAGACTTTAAACTGACTACAATAACTTATCTGACTATTACTCAACCCGATTGCGTTCGTCCGCCATTGTTTGGGCCATGGCTTTTGATGAAGTGGGCCCTTGGGTCTAGAGAGACGTGGAAAGAGGTGGAGATAGTTGATAGCTGGTCGCGGTTTCATTTACAAAACCCTCGCAATTATTACGTATGCACCATATTCATTTTTAATTAAAACAAATGAATGATAAAACAACAACATATGACTTGGGTTCGGAGGGAGCTCGAGGTTTATTCATTTTCATGTCGCTTGGCCAAATAGTTATCTGAGATTGTCGCGCTCACTCCGAGATAGAGACATTCTTTATTGCTTAGTGCCAATGGGCACTGAGTAAATGAGTAAACGACTAAAACTGGTCCCGAATTAAGCAATAATCGCTGGGACGATAAGATAGCCAGCGTTTCAATGCTTTTCTTCATTTTGTCGCCTCATTTTGGGCTTTGTTTCGGACTGCTGGCCAGCTGGACGTAATCCAGCCCAAGTTTCAAGTTGACCATCGCTTATCACGATTACAGGAGCTTTGCGGACAGTGATATGATAAATCATCCAAGTCCGACAGAAATAGTGCTGGCCATCGATATTGTTGGCCCGTCTAGATTTCCCGAGGCATTGTTGTATAGAGTTCGATGTGTTGTATGCCCTGCAATTGGACTGAAAAGCTAAATTAGTCAGTGTTAAAAATAGATACCCTGTGTATTATTGATGTATGTATTTTTGATCAGGGAAGTTGGATCCTAATAATAAGGTAGACCCAAGCAAAAAATCTTTATGTATATACCAATTCATCAGACTATGTTAGACATATGTACCCTATAGGCAGTTAAATTAGGGATGTTTGATTTCTAAGATGAGATGCTCACATTTCATATAAGTCTTAAAGGTCTTTATCTGGATAGCCATTTTCTTATTTCATAATAATATTATTCATTACAACAAATTATGGAATTTACTTTTTCCCAACTGTTCCCCCTCTGTTAAGCTGGCGATCAAATTAAAATTTTTAAGCTATTTTAAGCTCATCACAATTGCAGCGTATCCGCCCAAGGTGTGGCTACAATTTGAACCACTCATGGGCTGGCGGATTTTAAGAAAATGTGCGCAATTCGTGGCAGGAGGTGCGAAAATTTTTAACACTAACCTAATAAACCAGGAGTGGGCAAGATTTCTATGTCAATGGGCAATTATAATTATCAGGGAGAGGAAGAGAGATAGAGAAGAGAGAAAGATCATGTTGAATTTGTTCTTAATTAGCTGCCAATTGAAATTTATGTACATTACATTCGTGACTGAAATAAAGCCAAAATCCGCTATATATAGGTGGTTTTATATCTCACCAGAGAAAGATGGAGAGAGAGAGAGGGAGAGTGTGTATTGCCTGAGTTGGCCCGCAAATTGGCAGCAATTGTTGTCAATTTAAAATTGAAAAGAAGTCAAATGTTGACAGGAATGCACAAGCTATATATAACAATCTATATATGTGTATACATATCTATATAGACGTTTACATATATCTGTTAAGCACGCATCACATAGTACTCGCTCGCACATATCTGAGCTGCCGAGTGGGCGCTATCTTCGTGCGATATCTGACTTATCTGAGATGCTCCATATCGTCTTTTGAGTGCAAGCGAATGTTTTTTTTTTTCTGTTTGACTTGTATATCATGTCTCAAGGTAATCTTTTGATAATCAAGCGCTACGGCAAGCTCGCCAAGCTGATAAGATGCGAGCAAACTGACTGAGCAACTAGTCGAATATATATGACTATAAATTGCCGTATATGAACATATATAGTAGAACTATATGCCATCATATAGCCGTAAATATGCCCATCTACTTTCGAGTGTCTGCGATTTCAAATGATTTATTTCCGTTTCTATATTTTGCTTGCAGCTAGCATAAAATGCGCTTAAATTAGCGCAGATTTGGAACAGCAGCCGGTAATCGCAGTAGACATCTTTAGTTGACTGAGTGCCCCAGCGACAGCATGGCCCTGAATCAGGGCAAGTACAAGCCGACAATCTGTGCCATCGACGAGGTGGACGATCGCAGCTACAAGCTCCACACGGGCAACGACGATGAGCGCGTCGGCCACGGCAGCAAGCTGCAGATCGAGGGCAGCGAAACGGCTCCACTGACCACCAATCAGCAGAAGCTGCACATGGATGATGCTGGCCTGACGCCCAAGGAGTTGGAGGCGGCGCGCAAGGAGGCCCTCAGCGAGGTCAGTGGCGCGGGGGGCGGAGTTACGCCCACAGCGAACACACCGAACTCGACGCACGCATCAGCGAATGGACTGAGAGGTGAGGCAGCGACACCAATAAAAGCGGTTAAGATAAATGAAAAGAAAGAGAGGGAAAGAGAAAAATAAAAGATTAATTCACTTAACTAATATAATCAAATAATCAATGTGTTTATATTTGCATATGTCATTTAAAAATAAGTCTTTGCAATTCGCATATCATTAAGCACACATATCTAACTATAGATACTTTCGAATTGTTCTCCGATTTAAATTGAAAACGAAAAGTCAGGGTAGAATGGTTTTATTAGATGTGTTTATCAGGTAAAAGAAGGCGTGGCAAATCCCATAAAGTATATAGTATATTCTTGATTAGAGCTACGAGTTAAGTCGATTTAGCCGGTCCGTCTGTTTATCCGTCCGTATGTATGAACGTCTGTATCGAACTCAGAAGATGTAAGAGATATTTTCCTTTATACTTATATTGTCCGACCGTCTATCCATTAATTATCTAGATGCATGAAACGTCAAGTATATAATATCTGTGAAATCCGAGGATACAAAAATTAGAATGAATATACAATGCCTATTGGTTATTCTAAGGCTTCTAGACAGACCTAGACTTTTACAGTGAATGAGTATTACGAAGTCGACTCTTACTATAATTTCTACAAAAAATGCTTCCAGGGCATTGTACTTCAGATACTTCAATGTGGAGATAACAAAAATAAACTGAATTATTTTAATTTTTGGAATTTTGAATGGAACTCGAGTACAACAATGTATAATCTTAAAGTGACATTATTTCTTGATAACACTGTAGAAGAAAGATAGGCTTTTGTTTGACTTTGTAAGAAATCTAAGCAATAAACTTTGAATTTCTTGAGGAGAACTTATTGAGGGACCATAAACCTAAATACATAGCACAACATTCATCATCGTGATCATAATCATATTTTCTGCACATATCATCATTGCATGCTGCGGTTCATATTGCTGGATATATGTATAGCCCTGCTGCTTCCAGGACGGCGCTCCTTCGATGCACTGATGAGCCTGTCGCGCAAGCGCCGCATCCTCTACGTGGCCACCGCCTGCCTGTGCGCGCTGCTGCTCGTGATTATCATCATGCTGCTGGCGTTCTGGCCAGAGGTGCCGTTCCATTTGCGTGCGCCGCTCTGCCTGCAGCGCGAGTGCGTCGAGAGCAGCCGGCAGCTGCTGCTCTGGGCGAACACGACGAAGAGTGCCTGCCACGAGACTTACGACTGGGCGTGCGGCAACTTCGCCGACGAATACGCCAATGGGGACTACTATGTGATCAAGCGCGGCGAGTGGAACTACAAGACTTACAATGAGTATCAGGGTAAGAGCTGTGCTGCAGTCATTCCGAGCCAATTGATTAAACTCCTTCGTTTCATGCAGAACTCAACGAACTGAACCGCTTCATATCCATGCTGCCCAATGTCGCTGAGCGAGCCTACGCCGTGGAGTCAACCATCAGCAGTCTCTATCGCAACTGCCGCGACATCGATGCCCTGGACAAGAGTCAATCGGATCTATTGCTCAAGCAGGCCATCAAATCTGTGGGTGAGTTGCCCAAAACGACGAGAACGTGAAATGCTCTTAGAAGGAGCCGAAGGAAATTTTTAGCTTTTGCTGGAATTGAAGTTAAAGCTGATTGATTTAGCGATATTTTAGAATCAGAGAGCAGTTTTATTAGGAAGCGCAAAAAAAAAAAAAAGATTAGATTAGATTATTGCAACTAGTGTAGAAAAAAAAATTTGTTAGCTGCTGCTGTAGCTCCTCTAGTGGCTAGGCGGCAGATATGTCGAGCTCTGGCTGCCCTTGCCCAGGTTGGTGGTGGTGGTGCTGCTGCTGCTGCCGCCGCCGGTGCTGGTGATAACGGCCTGTCCGCTGGCATGACCCAGGCTGCCAGCGCCGCTGCTGGTGCTGATGAAATTCTGGCTGCCAGCGGAGGCAAGGCCACCGGCTGAGAAGCTGACGCCACTGCTGCCAGCGTCGAGGATGCCAACGACAGACTGGGCAGGTGCCACGCCCCCATCGGTGTGCTCCGAGGTGCCCTCGATGCGATCGTACTCGGCTGTGGCGTGAGAGAGTGTGTGTGAGAGTCGGAGATTGGGAGATGCTTATCGGATTGGACTTACCCTGAATCTGTTGCTGGGCATGGGAAGCCTCGGCGTCGGTCTTGTACTTGATGAAGAAGACCTCTGGCTTGCTGGGAATCGTGGGCGCCGGTGTGGCGATGTCGTTGACCTCCAGCGTCGAGTCCTTCTTGCTGAGCACATAGATGACGGTCTTCTCTTCCTTGGGCGCGTACTCGGCCGACAGCTTGACATTGGCGCTGCTCGACGATGGCGCCTTAATGAAGATGACGCGATAGTTCTTCTGCGGACGGCCAATCACCAGGTGCTTGACGCGCTCCAGATTCTCGTGCTCCTCGGGAGCTGCGATCGTAATGAACTGTTTGTGCACAATGGGCGCCTCGAAGGCCACCTGTTGGTCCGCCTGCTGCTGCTGCTGATAGCTGGGCGCCTGATAACCAGCCAATCCTCCAAAGCCAATATTGGGCGTTTGACCGAAGCCGGCAAAGTTGCTTGTGGCACTATTGCCAAAGCCGCCACTGACAAGGCCAGAGGAGGAGGGTCCACCACTTGTAATGCCGCTGCCCTGGGTGTAAGTGTTGCGGCCAAAACCCGAACCGGAACCGGAACCGGAACCAGAACCAGAACCAGAACCGGATCCAGAGCCGTATGCGGAACTGGAGCCGGAGCTGGCGCTGCTCAGCAATGAGCCAACGCCGGCGCCATGGAATGCTCCCAGTGGTCCATAGGTAGACACACTCTGAGTGGTGCTCGGTGCGCTCAGAAAACTGGAGCCGTGTCCCCCACCGCCCGTCGTGGTCAGAGTTCCAGAGACGCCGCTGCTATAGTTGTAGCCCTGAGGTTTGGCTTGAGCCAGGGCGCAGAGCGTGCACAGTGTCTGCAAAGCGAGCGTGTGAGAGAGGGAGAGAGGGAGATGTAGTCGGTGTCAGTGAGTGTGAGAGAGACGGGTGTGTAGGTGTGTAATCCTTATGTGTTATCCATTAAGCCTTACCACAAATAGACGCATGCTGGATTCAGATTTGGTTAGGCTTCAGAAGCTTCAGTTGATTAACTGATGCCGCTCCTCGCCGCCGTTTGGGTTTTTATAGTCGCACATTTGGGCCCCGAAGCGATTCCCTAATCAATATACTCAATATTCAATATGAATTCATATTTCTTCTGCTGTTTCTATTGTTATTGTTGTTGCTTCTTGTTTCTTCTTCTATATGATGGTAGCTAATTAATTGCTCAATTATTTGGCTATGCGAACATACCTCTGACATTTGATTTGACGCTCTCTTGCTCGCTCTCTAGCGCGACGCTGTTCTCCTCTTGCTTCCTTTAATGTGACCTGTTGTCTGATAGCTGTTGTTGTCGTTGTTGTTGCTACTAATCTTGGCGGCCATAAATCAATGCTTCAAGTGATCAGTTTGCAACTCTTCAGCGACTATTGACAACGCATCACCATAAGCTTAAGCAAATACATTGATAAATAATCGGAAAAAAAGAATCACTCGTTAAAAAAAATTGCATTTTTGTCTTTGCAGCCAACTGTGAATTCCTTGAGATCACGAAATGATCGATTCGTGAATTAATTTATGCGTCGAGCTCGAGCTCATCTGGTGACGTCTACTCACAGCTAATGACTGAAAGCCCATCAATTGTATCATTATATTCTCATGTGGGGGTTAAATTAATTAAGCCAAGCCAGATCAATGTCTGAAATGGGTAGAGTAAATCATACTAATTGCAATTCAAATGGGATCGGAGTCGATTCTTACAGGGTATCTGATAATCGTGCACACTCTCGGCTGGGCGTCCTTTGATTCTCTTCTGATAATGTTATTAATGAACGCAATTTGTCTACTGTCCATGTTCGAAATGTTCAACACAACAAGTTCTCTGGCTGCTATACAACTTTTTTTCCATCTAAACAAATTTATTGGGATTTTTCTTAGAGACTATAGAGAGACCAAGCTTCCGCAATGGGATACTTGTTTGACGTACTAAGTATTTAATTATGTGTTAGCCCCCAAGCGAGAGCTCGAAATTCGTAGAAATTCGTTGGCTAAAGCATAATTACGTAGATTCTAGACTGCCTGAATGGGCCAAAGTTTGATGATGATGATTTTTTTAATGATGTATATTGAATGATGTGTCTAAATGTGTACAAGATTCAGAATGAAAAGTCTAAAAATAAAGACGCCCCCTCTTAAAGTATTCAATTAGTATGTCTAGACAGGGATTTGAAGTAATGCTGAGAACTTTTGAAGTACATATATAGCATTTGTAATTAAGGCTTGAAGATATTCATCATCATATCATATAATTTGACAATTTTTGTATTAAGTATACAGGAAATCTACACACCTTATTATGTCTCTGCTTTAATGGGTCTTTCAATTACCACATATATTGATATTTATCGATAACAAAGTTATCGATAAAAACTAAACTTGATAAAATTGAACTACCTACAGCATACTCTTTGTAGCTTACGAGTTATATGCTTAAATCGGAGCACATAACTAGCTACCTTTTAAATACAGATACATAAAATGGGTACGATATAATTATAATTATTAAGAACAAGTCTTAACTCTTATATTGTCTGAAATCGACGCGTTAAAACATATGGACAGACGGACAGACAGACAGACAGACGGGCAGGGTTAAATCGGCTCAGCTCGTCACCCTGATCAAGAATATATATACCTTGTGGGGTCTGCCTCCTTCTGCCTGTTACATACATTTCAACAAAACCATTATACCCTGATTTCCCATTTTCAATGGGTTCAGGGTATAAAAATGCAACAAGTGGGATCTGAGCATTGTCGAGAGAATTAAAACTAGAAGAACCTTACATGTTATTAGCAACAGCTTTGCAAATATAACTAACTATACCTGTTTCAGTTACTTCCTGCAAAAGATAATTCACCTAACTTGACTTGTTTAAAACTTACTTCGAATCAACCAAATCTTTCAATTCTCACTATCGAAAATGAAATTGCTGCAATGTTGGATTACGAGAATATAATATGCAGATTGAAGCGATGAAAGCTACAAAAGTTAACTTAAAGTTTAAGTTTGTTGATTTCGATCGGAAGAATTTTTCTTCTCGTGAAGAATTTTTAGTTTTTGTTGTAATTTAGAAGTTTAATTTAAATTTTATGTTTGTTTTGAGTAAAAAAAAATATTTTGGGTAAACAAATTTTTCGTTTTGAAATTCGCAGCAAAGATCGTTTTACCGCCCTAAATCAAATCAATGCAAAGAGCAGAATTTAGAATTATTGCAGATTTAAAATATAATAATTCTAGTAATCGTTTCAATATATTTTGTTGAAATTTTGTTTGCACCGTAGTACAAGTATTTTGAAAAATACAAAAAATTAATTAGGCTTAAATGAGCGTAAATGGTGCAGCTGAGCAAATGCCAGATCTTTCTGGCCCGATCGACCCAGCTCAATGTATTTCAATGAAGACGCCACACTGGTCAGGCTTGTCTGGGCTGTTGGCAAATAGGCCGGTCTATGGCTATGTTTGTTAACTGAAGCATTTCCATTTTCATTTGATAAGACTAGGCTGGTGGCTAGTGGCTAGTGGCTGGTGGTTAGTGGTTGGTGGCTGGTGGCGGTATGCAACGAAAAGATGGCTCGATTATATTGTGTCATTTGTATACTTGAACTGCGACTAAAAGCAGAAATTCCAAACGTCGTCGTTGTCGCTGTCGTTGTCATCTTATTATTTTTGTTTTTTGTATTTATTTATTTATATATTTATTATTGAAAAATTTCATTATAATTGGCATAATTTGAATGCGCTTTGGGGCGAGCTTTGTCGGTTTGTCGGCTCGCGCGGCCGATCTGGCAGTTACTTAAGACCACATTTTATATGGCTAAAATGTTATGATTTATGCGCGGTAGCCACCTTGAAATAAGCCGATTGAATTCAGCAGCCGCAGCCCACAAAAAAAAAATAGTTATTAGCCAGACGGTAGTATTTTCAGATGTTCGAATCTATATCAATTAAGTCCATAGTACGGCATTTGCCACTGCACTGTGTGCGTGTGTGTGTGTATCGGTGTGAGTGTGCTTCAGCCCAAAACGAATGACTTAGAACACAAACTTTTTACGTCAAGCCAATTAACGCATTGGCCTTGGAATATGGATTGCATAACTTTTCCTCTATTGTTTCTTCTTTTGTATATATGTATACACTTTTTATGTTGTTTTTTTTTTTTTCTCTTTTTTGATTTTGTTTTAAGTTTCTTATGCATATTTGAAGATTAATAGCTGCCGTCTTGTGCGGTTCGGTTCGGCTGCCAATCACAAAAAGGTCGTCTAGTTGATGTCCAGATATGGCCGCCGCTTCCACAATCCCATTAATTAAATGCAAATGCAAATAAATCTACACGAGCTGCTTTGCGAATCAGCCACCAAAATAAAGAAGATGCATTGATGTCTCTTTTTTCCTATCTTTTCTTCTTTTTTTCTGAATTTAACTATTTGCAAAATTTATGTAAATCAAACTGAAATTCGTGGTTTGGCGATCCTCGACGAACCGCGAATGCCCTCTATCAACATCTTCATGATAATTAATGTAAATACGAGCAGAGGCAGGGGCAGCAGAGAGAAATGAACTATGAAAACATACATAGTCGTATATCTGGCACCAGCCAAGCACACACACGCACACACACATATACAGACGTCTTAGTCTTCCTTTAAATAGATACAAATAAATAAAAATAATGAATAGTTTATTTAGGTTTTATATTTTTAATATGATATTTATACAATATTCAAAATTACACTGTCAACAATTTAATACTTAAAATACAAATTAGTTGTTTGTTCAGAAATATCTGTGCATTTCTTGTTCTTCCTGTTGTGCATATGCTTCGCATTGCCCAAAGCCGCCTCGTTTGGCACAGGGTCATAGCACTTTGGCAAAAAGGAAAAAAAAAACAGACAAGAAAAAAAAACTTTTTTATATATAAAATTTAAAATAAAAACACAAAAAAAAAAAAAAAAATACAAAAAAAAAATATAAAAGTTTGCAAAAAGTATGCGAAATCTACAAAAATAAAACACTTTGCGGCTGTTGAGTTGAACATTTTAATTTACGCGTTCGCGATTTTTTTATGACGTCTTGTTTGTTGTTGTTGTTGTTATTGGATGAGTGGGGATTTTATTTGTATCGGCATTGTCTATATATTTAACGCTTATCACTTTTATGCAAATGCTGCTACCCGGCAATGTTAATAAGACACTTAGTGGTGCGCATGGGACGATCGTTAAATTGACACCACCCAATCGCCTGCAGCACCACACTCACATGCATACACGCACGCACACTCACACTCATATGCACACGCTTATGCGCTTTAATGAAAACTCTTTGTCGGTCGCTGATAGTCGTAGCCCAACTGAGCCGCTTTGACTGCATCTGTTGGTGACTTTGGGGGCTCCAGGGCGCCAATCACAGACTGCACTGGCGCCACGTAGGGCGCTGCATGCTCCGAGTTGCCGCCCAGCACGTCGTACTGCGTCTGTATCTCACGCTGGGCAGCGGCTGCCTCCTCGTTGGTCTTGTATCTGATGAAGAAGACGTCGGGCTTGGTCAGGGACTGCAGCTGCGGCTTTGGTGGCTCTATATCTTGGGCCTCCAGCTCCGGCTGCTTGCGACTCAGCACATAGATGACCGTGCGCTCCTCCTGGGGCGCCAGCTCGGCCGTGTACTTGAGAGCCTCGTTCTGGGTATTGGGCGCGCGGATGAAGATGACGCGATAGTTGCGCGTGGCACGTCCGATCAGCAGGTGCTTGGTGCGTGGCTGCAGCTCCTCCGGGTCCTCGGCTGCCACGATGCTGTAGAACTGCTTGGTAATTAGCGGCGCTGACGTCGTAGGACTCTCCCCAGCCGCCGGTGGCAAATAGGAGCGCATCGGCAGGGCCTGGCAGTGGCCAAAGAGCTCCAGCGAAACGAGAAAGATGACAAAGCCCAACATGTTGCTAGCGGATGATGCCCCGAAATGTGTGTGGCAGTGGGTGGCCACAAGCCGTATATATATATATTGGGCAGAATCTTGAAGTGTTTTTTGCACACAATTCGGGGCCCAATTAGCCAAAGACTTTGGCAACGAACTTGTTGCAAATTAGTGAAAACAAAGGAGCCGTTAAAAGCGAAATTGTTACAACATTTGACTGCCAAGATCTAGAGATTATTTTCGTAAGATTTGCACATTTGTATTTGAGTTGCGATTGGCATAGAATACATATATTTCCGCTGCATTTTGTAATACACATATACAAATTTTTACATTTCATAAATATACATATGTATATGTATATGTATGTCTTTATCATAAATTTCAGAGATCATAGTTTTGGCTCATTTATCTTTTATCGCTGCGCGCATAAACATCTTGTTTGGCCATTGTCCACAGTTTATGCGGCATCATTCAACGCCCCCACATTGCTTCTTCTTCTTCTTCTGTTGCTTCTCCATTTTTTGACTAATGGGCAGCTGGTGTGATCTAATCTGCGCTTCACAGCCTTTGCATTTGTTCAACATTTCAAAGTTTTCTTTTTATTTTGAATTTTTTGTGCGTTTCGCAGCCTCGCAGCTGATTAGTAGATTAATTCATTTTGGTTTCGCTCGCGTTGTTGTCAACAAGTCGAGACAATTAAAATATCAACAGCGATATGTTTCTCTTATTTGTTATATTTGTGTGAGAATACGACGAGTTGGCTGGCTTGACATCAATTTTGATTTCGGCTTCGATTCAGGCCTCGATGCGCATCGATTTGCATAAATTGACGCGTAATTCCCACACTTTCATGTCGCATTTGGCAAAATGGTACAGCTAATTTGATTTATGACTTGATTTATTAAGAAAAATTGCCTCTGCCCAAAGCCAAAGCCGCCAGAAATCAGAAATCACTGATAAAGATGTAAATGATCTTGTACGAAGGTTGCTCAAGGGCTGCTCGCTTGCCGCCTTCGACCTAATGAAACGATACAGATTTGGACTTGCCATAAATGAGAGTATCTCAAGATTTGAATAATCAATAATAATAAGTCATTCAAATTTCAGAAACAAGAAGCAGAGACTGAACATTTGACATGCCGAATGGAAATTGAAGAGACTTTTCTGTTAACTAAAAATATATATTACAATTTATATATGTATTATATAAGTATTAGAGCACGAGTTATTTAAATGTAAAAATATATAAATCGCAATACTCTTTGATGGTATGAAGTTTTGCATCGATCACTCAGTGATTTCGTTTGATGACAGCAGATGATCTGATTTTTTTTTAGTTAATCGCTTTACCGTTACTTATTTAAATAACTGATATAGTAAGGCATGTTTGTAAAAACTTTGTTGGGGCTTGCGAAATAGTCTTGCTTTGGTGGATGGAAGGTTGAAAGCAGCATATAAGCCAAATATTTTAGTGTTTTACTATCGAAAGTGTTTACACACTCAAGTGAGGCGAAAATGATGTGATGTTTTATGTAGGAGCTCTGTTAACCCAACGCCAATGTCAAAATTGATTTGCAAAATTTGCAAAGTTCCAGCAATTTCGATCTTCAGACTGGAAGGTCTCTTGAGGATGAAGGACCCAATAGCTCACTTGATAGTAGATCCCGCCAAACTAGTAGATTACTAACTAGGCAATGGCTAAATGGGCTCAATCGATGGCTAAGGAAAGTGCGAGCAGCTCAGAAGGGACAGCTGAAACCTTGATGCACGTAATGCATTGCTCTGGTGGAAGTCTGTCTATAATGGAATATCGGAACAAGGCCTGTCCAGTAAAAATTCTGCAACTCTACGGAAAGACATCCCTGATGGAGTACTTAAGATCTCAACTCTAGCTTAATATCTATTATTATTATAATATACATACTTATATGACAATCAATACTGCAGATTGTCAATCCTGAGTCCTACATTGCATTATTGTTAAGTTGAGATACATCAATTGTATTTGATGGACTCGACGCTTATTAAAAACAAAACAAAAAAATATATATAATAAAAAAAAAAGCAAATTCCAGAGTTGATTTAACTGCATGTCAACTGCTGACAGCAGCTACTATGCGCGATCTGACCTACATATGGCTTGTGATGTCAACATTTATGTAGCCATTGATCTATCTCCATTCATATCAGACAATAACAAAATATCATTAGTCTGGCTACAATCGCTAATGTTACGATCATCGTTTAATGTGGTTCAGCTGATTTGAGCCAAGATTTGTATTCAAGCTGCACTCAATTAGGCCACATTCAGCGGTTAATGGAGCTCTTAATCTATCCATCTGATAAGAAAATAATGTTCCAATGTATTCTCTCTCCCTCACTCGCTCTCCATCTCTCCCTCTCTCTCTCTGGTTGAGCTCATGCATATTTATGCATTTGGCCTGCGTCGCAGCATTAAGATCGACGTCATATTTTGTCATGGGGCGTCAGTTTAACGATCGCTCGAAGTAAAAGATGCGCTGTTTGATTCAATTATAATTAACTTTGATGTGCTTATTTTGATTTCTCACTTCATTTAGGCTAATATTGAGGTAGTTTGGGCGCCGGGCCGCTTTGTTGGCTGTCGAATTGTTTTTTGGACGTTGAATTGTTGATTTGCATTTGAGCATTTTGCTTTTTGGCCGCTTCGGACCTTTATTAGCCGCTTGGCATGATTTGAGCAACATTTCAATTTATTTATGGCATTTTTATTAATTTTTTAAATGGCATTTTATAGCGCGGAAACTACGCGACCTTACCCCAAAGAAGTGTCTCTTGAAAAAACGTTGCGTACTTCTTTATATATACATTTTATTTATTTATTTTTTTAAACAATAACAAAAACAAAAAACAAAAAAAAAATATATGTGGTCGAAGGAAACAATGTGCTTAAAACTAAACAACACATAACAAGCTATTAGAAGGACTGAAGTTTGTGTGCGTGCGTGGGCGGGGATTGGGTTTGGGGATAGAGGGCGTGGCGTGGTGGTGTGGAGTGCGGGCGCTTATCGCTTCAGGGCACTGGGCAGATACTGGGAAGAGGGATTAGTGCTGGGGCGATTGATCTGGCGGTAGTTGTAGCTGCCATCGGGATTGAGGCTGTCGAGGCTGCCGATGACGGAGGTGATCGGGGCGTTGTTGTCCTCCTGGAACTCGTTGGTGCCGCCCAGCTTGTCGTACTGTCCCTGGATCTCCTTCTGGGCTTGGTTGGCCTCGTCCTCGGTCTTGTACTTGATGAAGAACACCTCCGGCTTGCTGGGCTGCGTCGGCGCTGGTGTCGCAATATCGTTGGCATCCAAGTCGTTGCCCTTCTTGCTCAGCACATAGATGACGGTCTTCTCCTCCTGCGGCGCGAACTCGGCCGAGTACTTAACGTTGCCATTGTCGCCAGCTGGCGCCTTGATGAACACCACGCGATAGTTCTTCTGCGGCCTGCCGAGCACCAGATGCTTCACCTTGTTCTCGTTGCCGCGCTCCTCGGGCGCCGACACCAGATAGAACTTCTTGTTGATGATGGGCGCCGGCGTGGTGCTAGCTGGCGGCAGGTACTTGTCGCCGCCTCGATGTACCTGCTGCAGCTGGCCCACCGGGCTGGGCAGCACCAGTTGTCCCCCGGGGTTCGGGAGGCCCGACAGGCCAATGCCGCCCACAAAGAGATCGCTAGTCTGCGGCTGCTCGTAGCCGTACTGAGGACGTGCCTCGGCCAGGGCCAGCAGAGCGGCGACGCAGCCGAACACTAACTGAGCTGATGTGGAACGCATTTTCGAATTGGGTTCGTTTTGGTGAGTTTCTGTGAGTTATCCTTGTGGTAATCCTTGAATGCTTGCTAGCTTGGTTGTCGCTATCGCGTCGCGTTCGTTTGAGCACGTTTTGCTTTGGATTGCTTGAGGGCAATGGTTGCATTTCTGGTCGCTCCACTTGGCTTATATGCGCTGCTTTCCAGATCGGCTGTGGCCGCTGGCTGCGCTGTCGGCGCCATCAGTTACCAGCTTGTTGTTGTAATTTATGTAAATCAGCATAATCAGCATCATCAGCAACATCAGCATCAGTAAAAGCATCAGCAGGGGCAGCGGCAGTCGAGCTGCTTGTCGGCTGCTTAGCTTGGCACATGGCAATAACAATTTGAACATGTCCACAGAGTTGGCTCGCTTTCAAGATAGGCTCGAGCAGCGAATGCTACCAAAAATGTATTCAAATCTCTCAACTGCATGTTGAGTCAGCCACAGGCAGTGGGGCGTGGCTGATTCTGATATGCGCTGCGTAGCCATGGTTCACATTTTGAATAGAGCTCATATATCTCGTATAACAATAGCCACTCGTCTCGTCTCGAATAACATATATAAACATATATAAATATATATGTGTATATATGTAGCATCTAGCATATGTATCTGTTTCTATCTCTATATAATTTTGGCAGCTTAGGCATTGAACTTGACTGCGCGCTGCGCTGGCCTCACAGCTGAGTAGATTATTAATAGACCCATGGATATACAGAAAGTTTAGTTTTTTTTTGCCAGTTTCTGTAGGCTTTGCTGGCCGCCGTTTGCATCTAATTAAACGGCACCTGAACGGCATCAGTCTTTGACTCTAGGCCTCCAAAGCAATCGGCAAAAAAAAAAAAAAAAACAAAATGTGTTTAGCGAAACTAGTTTGCTGGGTTTTTCTTTGGCCCAGAGCAATGCTGGCCTGCCCATCACATTGCTGATCGATTAACTTGCAAATGTGAAACACTTAAAAGATGGTTTCATACATCTCAATATGAATGGCGACGGACCATCTGATTGAATACGATCAATATGCGAACCAAATGGGCATCAAATATGTCACAAATGTGCTACGCAATGTGTCTCGATCTGTGCATATATAATATATAGAATGTATCTTACATATGTATCTATCATATTATATAAACTAGACAAGGCAAAAAAAAGTAGATCAAGCCTTGATATCTCTGAACCTAGTTGATTTTGAATCTGATTGAAATGTTTAAAGCACGAAAAATTCATATGAGTAGGTAGAGAATGGAGTCCCTTCGTATAGTACCTGGCATAAATACTCTCTCTCTCTCTCTCCCTCTGTGTGTATCCATATCTATATCATATATCTATATAGATAAATGTATATAAATATCAATTTCCTGTGCTGTCTCTAAGAAAGGGGACATCTTATACACTTCGCGTCATCAGGTTAGCGCCCCCCCTTACACTCATTTTCCCCCCCGTTTTTCTCTTTGCCTATTGCACG